TTCCCCGCCTAAGTTCTCCCCCAAAACCCTAAACCCTAAGCCCTAAACCGCCAAGCCCACAAGAGAAGAGAGAAAGCCCCGGGGGAGATGAGCTCAGGAAGACATAGATGCATTTGACAAGATGCCGCGGTCCTTCCGAAAGGACTCCAGATTTCACTGAGCTGCTCAAGGGTTCGGAGCTAACGGATCCTCTGAACTTCAAGTTTCCAGGGTCTGGGCCGGCGTCTGGGACGGAGAAAGGCTCGTCGTGGTTACGGTTAAATGAATGCCGCACCCGAAACCCAAACCCCCCTTTGATCCTGAACCCAAATCCAGGCCATTCTTCCACTTGCTTCTAAAATCCTCAGGTAGTTCTGATTGCTGAGGCCTTTGAATGAAGCGGCTTAGGGTTTAGGGCCTTTAGGGTTTGGAGTTTAGCGGCGGTGTTCCTTCCTTTTCTTGGCCTTTGGTTTCCCTTCAGCTTCGTGCTGTCCGCTCCGGACGCTCCAGGAAGACTGCGATGCCGACGAGCGGGTCCTCATCGCCAGCTGGGGCTCTTTCTTGATGACGGCCGATGCTTCACTTCCTGGACGCCGATTTTGGCTTGGGGGTCTAGGGTGTTGGTGGTCAGTTTTGCGGGGCCTGGGAAAGTTCAGGGACACCTAAATCCAAAACACTGAGTCAGAAGGCCGTCGCCCAGGGTTTTTTTCTTTGATTGCTTGCTACTGTCGTTTGTGTGTACATGCTGTTTGTTGTGGCATGGTTCTTCGAAAAGGAGATCGCTTCTTCAACCACAGCGCCGGAGAGGAAGGAATGGCCTGGGTGGTCTACGATTGCGGTTACCGTTAGTTGAAGATGCTGGTCGCGTCTCAGTTGTTGCCTGCATCTATCCTTAGTAATGCCCTGAGCCGAACTTGACAGTCACACTGTTGCTGCCATTGCGAAGCCAGCTAGCCTTGTTGTCACTGCCGCTGCTGCTGCTGCTGCTGCTGCTGCTGCTGCTGCTGCTCTACTACTACTAC